AACTTTTTTAAAAAATATGAGTAGGAGTACACTCTCAAATAACAATACATAAACCAGTAACAGTCATTTATTATCATTATCAAGTATTATGTTCTATGCATAATCATACTTGCTATACTTCTGTGTGACTGGCAGCACAGTAGGTGTGCTTAAATCAAAAAATCATAAACACCCGAGCAATGTGTCCTGCTAGATGTTAGGATGGCTGCAGTGTCACTAGGCGATGGGAAATTTTTCAGTTCTATTATAATCTTAAAGGGCCACCTTTATTTATGTGACCCATGCTGTCATGCCATGAGTGGCCCCATATTTATTACTTATATGAGAATAATTCACTAGCAGACATGTGAAACATTTAAGTGTGGTAAAATACTGACTCCTACCTCCTTAAAAAAAAAGAGAGTGTGAGAATCTATATAATATATAATCTATATGCTATTAGGTACTATCATTAACAAGTCAAGTGATACTGGGGACTTGGGACTTAAAATTAGTTAAACGTCTTTTTGCTGTTCTATAACTTTAAAACTCCCAAGTTTACATACATACGGCAACTGAGACAGTTTGGTACTAGCATATGAGTAAAATTTTAATTCCTGGGGCAAGATTATGAACAATCCAGTAATCCCAAACATTTCTAGGAAGGGAAAGGGATCATTTTTCTTTTTCCATTCTGCACCTTTTCTTTTTGCATACTCATCATGTTTTAAATAAACAGACTGAAGAAAGTTGTTATTAAAGCCCTCCTCGGGCTTCTTCAATTTCAGTTTTAAACCAAGTTCAAAATATTCTGGCAAAAAATAAAGACAACATTAGAATGTTGCCATAAATTTTAAATTTGTACAAAAAGTGATAAAACCAAAATGAGATTTAAAAAAAGACCAATAAACATCTCTGCTTATATTTTTATCTTTTTTCATTATCAGTGATTTTTAAAAATTGATTCTAAATTACATTCCTTTTCTAGAGTCTCTGTATTACACCTATTGTTCTACATAACTCTTAGAAGTTTAATGTTTACTTTTTAAAAAGTTTATTTTGTTCAAGATAGAGAGTGTACACACATGCAAGGGAAAGAAAGGGTAAGAGAGATAGAGAAACACTTTTGACAGGGCCTCATCACACTGGGATCTCCTTTCTCTAGACCTCCAACTTGTCAGGATTCTGTGTTCATGTATGCATGCACACACACAATATTTCAGGCCAGCTCGGGATTCTATACGTGTAATCAGCCATGTGGCTTCCAGCACTACATTTCCGTTTACTACTGATGTGCCACCAGGCTGGGCCTGTGTTTTAAAAGTGTGAACGCCTATTAGCATTGCTAATAAAGAATATGTAATGTCTGTATTTGCTCACAAAGTGGAACAGAAAATATTGCTGATCAGAGATTCCATTCCTTTACTCATTCTGGTTGTCATTGAAGTCATTCATTTTCATTTTAGAAAAGAACTAACAAATTTGTTATGAATGAAATGGGGATCCCAGAGAATAGGCCACACATTGGCATGGAGATGAATCCAAACCCTTGCAGTCTAGACCAGAGGAAGTGGGGACCAGCACGATGGAACTCTCATTTAATAGATAATTTGCTTTACATTGCCCTTTATTTATTTATTTATTTATTTATTTATTTATTTATTTATTTATTTTTGCTATTTCTCCAGTGATACTGTGTGTACTTCAACTAGCCTAATGTTGGACCCAGAAGTAAGAAGGAATTGCAACCACTTTTAAAAAGGCTTATAACGGGACCAGCAGTTAGTGTAATGGCTATGTTGCTGGACTCCCATGTAGTCGACCGCGGTTTGCGTCCAGGACCCGGTGGCTTAAAGCTCATGCCGGGTGTGTGTGCATGCGTGCCCGCCCAAGATCCCAATAGGAGATTGGAAGAGAGGGATTGCGGCGTGGCTATCCCCCCCTAGGGTGTGATTTCTCGCTTTCTGTCTGTCTGTCTGGCGAGCACACGCACCCTATAGCACAAACCTCTCCAAAAAAAGGCATACGGCAAAAATATAATCTCCTTCTTATTACACAGTAACATAAATATAAAAATGTGTACAAATAACAGTTTTTATTCGAGCATTAAATTTTATTATGATGTAGTATGTGTTTTATTACACTGTTACCTGATGTCTATTAAAAACGAGCTTCGGGAATGCCTTTCTGGCATAGGTAATTTCAAGAAAGAGGCTCCAGGGCCTTGCTGAGGTATGTGCTTTATTAAGATGCTGCGACTTCTCAAGTTGAGGCCACATGGGAGTCACAGTTGTATATGTAGCACTCCCTAAAGGCTGGGCATGGCCGTGTGTACCTGGCAGTCTGAGCTACTCTGGGAGCTAAGGCAGGAGGATCATGACAGAGTAAGACCTTGTCCAAAAAAGAAAAATATGTATATTTTTAAAAAAGAACAGTTTTCTAGATCATCTTCTAACCTTCACCATGCAAACAAAATATCCCTGATGCTAAATTAAAAAAAATAAATATATATATATATATACATATTTATATATTTTTTAGATAAGATCTCACCATGTCAGGAGTGTGTGTCTGTTTGCTCATAATACTGCTCTGTCAGCATATGGTATTTTTATTACCTCCATTCTGAAGAAGGTTAAAGGGGGAAACGCACACATGCGTACACACACACACACACACACCCTTTAATTTGTTCTTTAGAGTTAATACAGATCCTTTGTGTCAGGTGGACCTGGATTCCAGTCCAAACCTCATCATGTAATCATAATGTGAACTTCAGTACATTTAATGTCTTTGTATCTCTTTCTCTGACTTTAAATGAATGAAGTTAATAATATCCTATTGGGAATTTTAGTGAGCATTAAAAATAAAAACATATGTTAAAAGCACCAAATACAATTAACAGCTACAATACACATACCAGCATCCTTCTTGTTCTTGAAGTTAATGAAACCCTTTCTGCCCCAGAACCTTTGCATTTGCTACCCTTCTCTGTAATACTTTCCCCTTAGCTCTTTGAATGACTGGCTCATTCCCATCCTTTAGGTTTTAACTCAGATATTTCTGACTTAACCTGACCAGTGTGTCTAAAATAACACTCTGCCCTCATCCATAGTCACAGTCCATGGATCTCTTTATTTGGGCCATTGTCTTCTCCTTCAAATGTTAACTCCACATGGGTGGAGAGATTTCCTCTTCCTTGTTGATAATTGTATACCCAATGTTCAAGTCAGTGCCAATGTCAATAAATATAAACAATTGGAAGAATCAATGAAGTAAATAAATGAATGGAATGGGAGGTGAGTGGGAGGGAGGAAGAAAGAAAGCAGGAAAGTAAGAAAAGACACTGGAAGGAAAGGAGATGATGGATAAATGGAATAAAGAACATAAGGAAGAAACGTATATGGCCTGAGGAATGGTTTATCTTCTGGATATATATATTTACGTATTTAACTTTTAAATTTAATTTGAAGTTTAAAAGTTAGATAAGAATTGGGGCTGGTGGGTGGCATGGCGGTTAAGGCGCTGGACTTCCACATGGCTGACCACAGTTCTAGTCCCAGGCCTGGTGGATTGCTTTATTATTTTCCCTCTCTCTCTCGTCAAATTGAATAATAATAATAAATAAAATAAAATAAATAATTATTAAAATTTTTAAAAATTAGGTTAAAATTGTGTGGTTTTTATCCTCCTTTTTAACCTTATCTCTTTCTTCCAGAAGCCCACAGGTTTTTTACAGGGAAATTTTTGTAGAATTCAAAAATTTTTGTAGAATACCGACAGTTTAGAACTAAGTATTTTCAGGTTTGACAATTTTATACTCTCTTGCAACAACTTAACACTGCATTGTAATCTGAAAGCAGCCATAGATAATACGTAAGTGAATGATAAATGATCAAATAAAACTTTATTTATGGACACTGAAATATGGATTTATTTATTTTATTTATTCATTTATTTTTGCCAGAGGGTACATATACTTGCCAGAGAGAGAGGAAAAGTGAGAAAGCATCCCTCAATGGGGCATCGTCATTCTGCAATCCCTTCTCCATTTCTCTGTCCAGTTGACATCTAGAGCACCTGGCATGTTTTTCAAGTCTTTGGGGGTAGGATTCAAACCACAGCTGACCTTATGAGATCCAACTCCCTTAACCACTACATAATGGGCCAACCTGATATTTAGATTTTAAATATTTTCTATGTCATGAAATACTATCTTTGATTTTGTCAGGAAAATAGAAATATAAAGACAATTTTTAGTTCATTAGCCTATAAAAAATAGGTGGCTAGCTGGATTTGGCCCCTTTCACCTACTTTTCTGACCTCTGCTTTATAATGAACTAGTTTAAAGGTTGTCAATTTCAAGGATGTTTGTCTTTAAAAGATGAGCTGGCATAGGAGAAGACCAAGAATAAATGTTGAGTTCTTCCTCAAAGAATAAATTTCTGTTGGTAGAGTTTTAAGTAATTTGGCAAATGGAAGGAGTGTATAATTTTGAATAATCAGACCTTCCTGAACTCCTGCAGTCACATGGTTTAAGCACTCCATTATCTACAGGTAAGGCTGTGAGTGCTAAGAGCAGCTTTTATTACTGGTTAATACTGCCCTGGCATGACTGTTAACAAGCTCCCATCTTATTTATTCCTTCATTTCTAAGACTTTAGAATTTGGGATCAGTTACCTCCTCCAGGGATGATTTTGAAAGCAAGACATTTGAGGAACTTTGAACTGAATGACTCCTCTTTGTTTATAATCCTAAAGATGAAATGTATTCAATTTCAAGTAACGATTTCCCTAACATTTGTTACTTTATTTTGGGTAAAAAATTATTTTGGAGATCATTTAAAAAGTATATATTATATTATTTTCTCTAAATATAAAAAATTTGAAAATGAGTTTGAGATTATTATGGTATTATGAGTATTATTTTAATAACTATTACTGTTTATAGTGCTTTCAATTACTTTAATCTGATAGAACTTTCCGACTCTTTTTTTATAACTCACATCTCTCTTAAACAGCCGAAGCTACTGCTTAAACTTCCACCTTGGGAAGATGTTAGTCAAACTGCATTGAGAAATCAGAATGAAGCTCAATTTGAAGAAAAAGCAGTTAAGTATTTCATAGGTAGGAGTACTTAGGATATTGAAATCAAATAGTCAAAATTCATCTGTTTTATTTTAGGGCATTCAGGATAAGTAAGCTTCCCTTCAGATATACTTCCCAGAAGTACAACTATTGGTAGAAACTAAAGAGTTGGGTTGTTTTTTCTCTTACTTTTTGTAGATAGAGAGAAATAATCATCATTGGTTATAATAAGGCAGATGTTCTGAGGTAAACTTGAAAAGTCCTTTTACCTTTCCCTTCTTGCCTGTGCTAAATATTAGGAAATGAAAATTAATAATAGTTTAGATCTAAGTTAACCTGAAGTAGGAAGCAAAAAAAAAAAAAGAACAAAAAACAAACAAACAAAAAACAAACTTAACTCATGTTAGCCAAATATATTATTTTAAAACTTTCTGCTTAGGCCTTGACTATCTTTATCAGGAGTAGCCCCTCTACTTTAGAATGCTGAAAAGTAATTTAACACAGATGCACTCAGGAGTGTGGGAATGAGGGGTGAGAAAACATGTCTTTAATTTAGTGTTTGTTATGCTTTAGTTCCGGAAAAGTGTTGAGTAAATGACTCTATATGTAAAACAGAATATGGATTATTGGAATTGCCCAAAGGTAAGCAATCTAATTCGCAAGATGGACTGTTTGCTTAAATCATTTAATGGCATGCTTGGAGACATGCATGGTAGTCATCAACAATCAAGTGCTGTAGCGCAAATATTCAGGAGCAAAGCGCTTGGTGTGTAGAAATCTATGATTATATGGGTTTCTCCCTGCATATTCTTCACCTAAAAGCCCAGATGTGTTGCCCTTGAGGGAAACAAAGGGGGTGTCATCCCCAGGGAGTTTCATTAGACCAGATATGGTGGGTGACAATCAGATGCACACCCCTTTGTGTACCTGAAAATGATAGCCTATTGTTTTTACAAGTTCTGCCTGATACAAGGCTGCTCATAAATTATGCCATAATCGCCCTTGCAATCCATTTGCATAGGAGTTGAGAGCATATATAGTTGATCTATGACTAACGTCACAATTGGAGACATGTACTTTATATATATATTTTTTAATATAAATCCTTCCACAAAAAAATATGGTCGTTGGTTTATGAGTTGTTGGCTTTCTTCCCCTACTATTCAACTCCTGTTTCTGCATTTCTTTTTGGGAACAGACAGTCTTTGAAATCACATTACTTGTCATTTGCTTTGTTTCTAACCATCATCATAGTTTTTATTTTACCTGCAAATAATTTTTAGTTGTTCTTCAGTCCAGATGTCACTCACTGAACAAATACCTTTATCATCGACAGTTTCACTGTGGACTTGGGCAGTCCTAGGAGAACGATAATTCTGTGCCTTTTGCCTCTCCTTTTGTTGGAGTCACATGCTGTAGGCACATGCCTGCTATGTACCATATTATAATGTACTTTAAAGACTCTTGAACTGATTCTTCATTTTAAAGGAAAAAGATATCTCATTGCCTTGCTTTGTGATCTGAATTATAAGGTAAATCTGAAATTTTGGGGTTTTAGTTTAATACAGTTGACTGGAAGTATTTTCTATTTTTGTAATTTAACTTTATTTATTTTAATTTGACCAGAGAGGGACAGAGCAAGAGAGTGAGAGCGACAGAGAGAAAGTGAGACAGTAAGCACCAGGCTGGGACTTAAACCACCTTTGGACATGTGGGAGTCTGATACTCTTAACCACCATGCCACTTGCCAACCCCAACTGGAAGTATTTTCAGGGACTTTAGGCAAAATCCCTATCTAACTTCTCAGGCTGGAATTAGTTTTTTTTGCTTTTTCAAAATTTTTTGTTGTTTTGAAATTCTACAATTTTTGTTGTATCTTTGTGGATTATGGAATGGTTTTTTAGGCATACATACAGTATACAATAATCAAATCAAGGATTTATCTACATCCATCTTCCAGATTGAACATTACACTATAGTATGCATATTTGTTAGTAGCTCAACTAGTTTTTTTAAAAATATGTATTAAATTGCCCTTAATTTTTATTCTATTGTGATGCTAGCCTCTTTCTCTTATTTATATGCATTCTTGTGTCCCCAGATCTGCTGAAACAAGCCAACAGAGCTCCGTAGCCACACAATTCTCTTCATCCTTCTCCACCCCACCTGCATTTCCCACCCCACAAACTCAGACATATATCCCATTTCAGTATAAGGGTAACCTCAGCCTTTCCTGAACTGTGTCAAAGTGACATAATCATGCCCATCCCTATAAAATGGCTTTTCTTGATAAGTCAAAAAAAATTTTTTTTAATTGACAAGCTTTTAAACAAAATTATGATGCCTTGCTTTAGTGGTTTCTCTCCATTATTTTTATTTTTGTTTTGTTGTTTTGAGCCTTCAAAGAGGATGTTTGAAAAGCAGATGACATGAAGGCATATAAGCAGCTAGTAAAATGAGTTAACAAAAATTGACCACAGATATTTAATGATAGCTAAATGGAACACTGGGTGATTGTGAAACTAATGTAGGCTGCTCTGATGCCACCCAGTCTAAAGATTTTAAGTGCAGAGTAACTGTGTGACTTTCAATAGATGACATGTAATTTTAGGTGTAGGTCATTGATGTATTTGGTGTATTTGAGCCAACTCATCCTATATTTAAAAGCTTATTTGATGTTGCTACATTCAGATTGTGATTTTTTTATCTTATTTATTTATTTATTGAGAGATTTTTGCTAGAGGGCGTGTACACCTGCTAGAGAAACAGAAAACGAGAAATCACCCCCTGGGGGAATGGCCACACCACAGTTCCTTGTCCTCCATTCTCCTGCTGGGACTTTGGGCACACACATACATGCACCTGTTGTGAGGTTTAAGCTGCCAGATCCGAGATTGCACCACATGGTAGTCCAGCACCTTAACCACTACACCACCTGCTGGTCACTTTCCTTATTTTGTTTTAATTGATTTTAAATGTCCAGCTTTAGAAAATATTTGTTTATATCATGAGAGAGAGAGAAAAAAGAGACAGGCACCCCTGACAGGCACCATGTCATTATCTTTCCACCCCCACCAGCCAGGATCATAGTTGCACCAGGCATTCACACCACCCCAAGATGTAAATGTGGGGGCTTCCCCTGAGGCTCATGCAATGTTGCTTTACCACCTGTGTTGAGCTACTCATTTGTGTGTGTGTGTGTAGGGGGGGTGGTTAATCAAGATCTACTCTTCCTTCCTTTTCTGTGTTGACATATGGAAAAGAATACATTTGGAATGATTTCTAATTCTTTTAATTATTGAAAAATGACCAGCACATTCTTCAATGTAATGGACCATAATAGAAAATACCTAGAAGAAAAAAGTATATATTTGCATTGGTTCTATATCATTAATATTGAAAGTAGCAGGTAAAGTATGAGTATTGATTAAACAGAGTTGATGATGACAGTAAGATCACCATGCAGTGACTTTTGGAATGAAGCTGGGTAGATTTTTCTTCCAAGAAAGAGGCATTGTGCTTTAGAGCTATGATGGAAGAGAATCCTCATTGTGGGTTTTTCTTTTTGTTCTTCATGGCTCTTTAGTTCTGGAGCAGTTTCAAGAATTGCCATATATTCTTAAAGCTTCTTATAACAGTAGTTAGCATAATGGCTATGTCGCTGGACTTCCATGTAGTCGACCACAGTTCGAGTCCCGGACCTGGAGGCTTAAACTCACGCCGGGCATGTGTATGTGCGTGCCCAAGATCCTCGGAGGAGAATGGAGGAGAAGGGATTGCGGCGTGGCCATTCCTTTTTGGGGGTGATGTCTCACTTTCTGTCTCTCTGTCTCTCTCTGTCTTTCTGGTGAGCACACACGCCCTATAGCAAAAACTTCTCCAAATAAAAGGAAAAAAATAGCTTCTTATATTTGGAAAAGATGAACTCTTGTTATATTTTTATACCTGTATTGTGCTTTTTCATATGATAATGTTGTATTTAAGGCATTCTTGGGAAATGATGTATTATTGTGGTAAAATAGTCACTAGACCTGATGAACTGTACTTACTAGAGGCAGAAGAATTCTGATTATGTATACCTATAAGCTTCCAATTTATCTCAGCTGTGATGGATCAATCAGTGCATCGACTTGATTGGCTCAGCTGAATCAAAGAACAGTCAGTGTTCAGGTATTCAGATTCTGATGCTATTTAGAATTCATTTCTCAACTTAGCCTACACATTTTTACCCATCTCCAATGATTCTGACGAGTGGGCTGAGGTTCATTCCTAAGTATTAATGTCCACCCCATTGTGACCAAGGAGCAAATGAATATAAACAGCTTGAGGCAAGCCACTAAACTCATCATCAAAGGTTAAAATACATCTTTTTCATCACATATATTATGGTCTTTTCCCAAAATACAATTCTACCTACTTGATTGGCCAAGCCTAGACTAAATTAAAATATGATGTCTGGAGCACTGTTTTCACTTAGGAAGTGGTAAGAACAGCTAGTAGCATTCTCCACTGCATCTCCATAATTAGCAGTAGCTACATGTACAGTTATTACAAGTAAACATCAAAGTCATTATTTGTTCCCATTTTAGTTGTTCCTTAAACTTTCCCTTTCTTAGCTAGAACTAAAGAATAGTGGAAAAGGGACTACCCAGTACCAACAACAAAATAATAATAGTGACAGACCACTTTTTCCCCCAAACAATTTTTTCTTTAGAATGTTTAAAGAACATTCTCTTTGATTTGTTTGTTTGTTTAACCTTTCCCTCTAACTTACGAGTTTTATTTATCTACTTGTGCCCTGGACTTTTCTAATCATATTTTTTCTTTTCTTATTATCATTATCATTTATCTAGAAATATTTCATAAAGAAAAAATAGGTTTTTTTTTTTTTTTTTTGGAGAGGTTTTTGCTATAGGGCACGTGCGCTCACCGGACAAACAGAGAGAGACAGAGAGACAGAAAGCGAGAAATCACCCCCCAGAGGGGATGGCCAGGCCACATTCCCTTCTCTTCCATTCTCCTCTCGGGATCTTGGGCATGCACGCACATGTGCCTGGCGTGAGTTTAAGCCACCTGGTCTGGGACTCGAATCGCAGTCGACTACGTGGGAGTCCAGCGACATAGCCATTACGCTAACTGCTGGTCCCCAAGAAAAAAAAGTTTTAACAAAGTAAGTTTAATAAAATAAATTTTAAGACAGGTAATTTAATTGGTAAATAGTTGGTTTAATAAAAGAGGTTTAATAAGATTATTTTGCTATTCTAGCATTTTATTTCAGATGTTTATGCTTGGAATAAAAGGATTGGGAGACCTATAGCTAGGCATTGGAAAGTCTGATTTTTCCTAATAATATACCTGAAACTATATGTATGTGTTGTATATAATGTATTTTTTCCTGGGCAGAAGATCAAATTTCATCAAACTTTCAAGTCCCTGACTATAAAAACAAGGGCCAAAACCACCTGAAATAGCATGATTACAGGAATGACTTCAGTTCTTCCAGAGGTTGTCCTTCCTCTCGATTCCTCCCACTCTTACCCTTGCTTTCAGTGTTCTAATGGTGCTTTTCTTTTAGTATACACACTTTGAGGTATGTGTGGAGCAGACGGAGGTACGGGTTGAGGGGGCCGTATTGAGCCAGCAGATTGATCTTAAAGATTATCTCTAATGAAATAAAAATTGAAAATTAATAATAATTAAAAAAAAAGTACAAGTGCAGTTTTTGGTTGGTGGGAGCAGTTTAGGAAGATACCATTTATTTTGGTGTAATTATATGTTCACTCTAAGACATATACTCGCACTTTTTAATGGACTATATCAAAGCCATAATATTGCTTAAATTGCCTTTATTTAATAGCAAGAGCATGAGAGGAACCATGCACATATTTTTTCTTGACAATGAAGTTGTATAGTAACCTAATTATTTTACATACAGGTATATGATAACTGATACTGCCTGACAAAAACAATGTCAAGTACAACTGTTTAAATTTCCAAAATGCATTCCTCAAATTTTAAGATCAATTTATCAGTTCAAAAAGACTGGGAGTTATTTCTTTATAGCCTGTAATTAGGACTGAAAAATTTTACATTTTGGAAGGATCTCACTAATTTACAGCAGTGGGCTGGTATCTTATTAGCTATTGTTGATTGTCAAATTGAACTATTGCAATTCAGGTTGGTGAACTGAATATCCTGTTTTCCTAACCTCTTCTATTGTTTACCATGTATATTTTTCATGTGAAGCTAATCAGTTTTAGAATGAAGTAGGTTATAGACAAACAGACATAAATAAATTGCATCCAAACATGTTGTTTATTGACATCTTTTATCATTATTATCATTACTATTGGGGAGGGGCATAAGGCATGTGTGCTCACCAGAACAAGAGAGAGAGAGAGAGAGAGAGAGAGAGAGAGAGAGAGAGAGAGAGAGAGAGAAAGTGAGAAATAACCTCCCAGGGAGGATGGCCATACCACAGTCACTTCTCCTCCAGTCTCCTCTTGGGATTTTGGGCATGCACACATGTACACCAGGTGGTGCTGGGTCCAGGACTTGAACATTAGAGTTGGCTCCATGAGATCCAATTCCTTAACCACCACGCCGTCTACTGGCCCAACATATTTATATTTTAGCAGTAGAGTTGTTTAGACTAGTTGAGTCCATTGTCTTATAGACTAGGCACCTATTTCTTTCAAATCATACAACATATATTTAAAAACAAAATGAAAAATCTAATACATAAATTATAGTGATATCAGTTTATTTTTGCCAAACACTCAGACATGAATTAACACGGATTTTAATTCAGTTTTATTGTTTTGACATCACTTACTTCCAACTAATTTTATATGTACTTTTAAAGTAAGTTCATTTTAAGTAACACCAACCTACAAACCTGTATGAGAAAAACTTAGGGCCCAAACAGGGGCTATAAATATTGAGAACCTTCCAAAATGGTTCATATAAATATAATACTGTCCAAAAGGTGTTTTTGTCTGTATAAAGGATCTAATGAGGTTCTATTCAATCTGAAAAGGATGATTAAGCTTTGCTGAATGGTATCGTCCCAGATACATTGTGCACAAGATGCCTGGTAACGGATCAAAGCCCACTTGAGGCATCGTAGGCATTTATTGTAAAGCGTTCAAATGCAACAATGCACCAGCCTCCAGCAAAATAGCAGTTATTTTATGAAAACTATGAGGATGAGATTCACCCAAGAATGCTAGCAAAATACAGTAAAACAGACTATTTTGCTAAAACAGTCTGTTTTGGGCTGATTTTACATAATACATTAAATTGACTTGTGTCCACCTAGCCAAATGTTTACAGTATAGCAAAGTTGGACTCAATTTCCCAGTCTGAGGTTTGGAGGAAAGGTTTCAAAGTCCTCCTCAGAGGTGAGCCCTCTGGTCTAGGTGAGTCTGAGAAAATACAGTGAGAACCAAGTCTTTTGTTCTCCTTAGGGTCAAAGACCATGTGGATCCTTACAGGAGACCTGAACTGACTCCTTCCCTTCTCCATATCTTCCCTTTATTTCTTAAGATAAATCGTTATTTAATTTGATTAAGCAAACAAACAATCCAGATTCCACAAATTACCTTCAATTATTTAAAATGATGGGAGAAAAATAAAAACAAAAACAAAAAGCCTTTACTCTCCTTAAAAGGTTGCTTTTCCAAGACCTTCAATCTCCAGAATGTTTTCTTGCAAGTTGTCTTCTTCACTGCCCCCCTTTTCTTTGCAAAGACTTCCTGTTTAAAATTGTAAATTATATCACTGTTAAGTATTCATTAAGTTGAGCACTGAGCTGAGAATACAAGCATTTTCCTCAACATTTATGGCTTTCTAAGTAGTCTTGTCAATGACTCCTTTTGAAAGAAGTATTTCTATAAACCTCATGCTATAGATAAGAAAGGCCTATCTGGGCTTGGAACTGGCTACATGTGGATATCTTTCTAATTCATTGTTCTTCCTTATTTTCATTTATTTGATTTGTTAATTTGAATTGACAGTATTATTCTTGTGTCTAAGTTCTCATATTTTTCACTGTATACCTAATTCAGAGTTAGGTACTCAATTCCTTTTCTGTATCATTACTATTAACTATAGTTCAAATAATTCAAATCTAGCTAATTTTTATATATTTTATATTATTGATGCAAAAGTGATAAGATCTCTTCCTTTCAATAACTAGATCTGAATTTATGGTATTTACTGTTAAATGAAACCTTGTGGTGCTAACACTAAATGAATTATGAGGAAAAGTATAGCAATTCTTTTATGACTCTTTCTATTTAAAGCATCCTGTGTAGGAATTTTCATTTTTACTTTTAAAAATAAAATATTACAGAGAGATGGTAAATAGAAAGCCTGAAAATTAAGTAAACTTGAAATTATTTTTAATTGCCTGTTTTGTAATTATATATTTTGCTTTATTTGCAGGACCGTGTAATTGCGCTAGAAACGGTAAGTTGGAACGTTTTGTTTCTTCTTAGAATTACTGCTTTCTCCTGGTTCCGAGCTCACTCAAGCAAGCAGCTCCTGAAAGCATTTCTAAAATGATATCTAAAATTCAAAGGGAGAAACAAACCAACCTATATCTAAAAGGTATATACATAGGGGTTTTTAAAATGGGAAACAATTAAAAATGAGAGCATAGTTAAGTGGTCACTACTGTCTCGGGACTGATGATACCAAGATGTTCTAGTTCATAGAAAGCATACTTAGTTTAAATATAATCCATTTTTTGTGGATTTGTTTTTGTCTTTCACAATCACTTAATGGACTGGTTAGTAACACCCTGAGATCATGATGCTGATTCTAATTTGAAGTCCAGGTTTGTAGCCATTATATGTTTTTTAAGTTTATTTAGACATATGTTTTGAGAAAGAGAGAGAGAAGTATTCTCAAAGATTCTCAACCCATGATCATCCATTCCCCAGCACCTCTGCCAGCCAGGATCCTGATCACATACCCCTACACCCCCAACTCCCATCAAATGCAAGATATAAAGTCATGTGTACATTAATGACAATATATAGGCATATATAAGAAGAATAGAAGTGAGTAAGTAAAAGTCATAATAGTGATTTGTTAGACAAAAATTATGGGTTGTGATTTTATTCCTTTCTGTATTTCAAGTTTGTAAAAGATAGTAATTTTATAAACATTCCATAATAAAAACCATGTGAATTGGAAGAACAGTAAATTATTATAACACTGATGAAAGATTATATGACCATAAAAAGTCATATTTTCAAAAAATAAATATTGTCATGCTTTTATGTGAAAAAGTGATATATAAGGGTATATAGAGAATATGATGCATAAAACGAGTATGTATAGTTTTACAGTAAAAAAAACTTTAAGGAAATACATAAAATATTAAGAGTGTCTTGGGAGTACTAGTGATTTTTTTTCTCTTTTTATATTTTTAATGAGGAGGAAAAAAATTTAAAATCCTTTAAACAATAAGGTTAATAGAGAATAAAATTCTGGGGCCAGCTGGTGGTGTGGTGATTAAGACAGCTGGATCCCACATGGTTGACTCCACAGTTCAAGTCCCAAATTTGGTAGCTTGAAAAACATGCATTCTGTGTGTGTGTGTGTGTGTGTGCATGTGTGCAAGTGTATGTATGCATGCCCAAAATCCTGAAAAGAGAGAGAAATAGAAGAGAAGGGATTGCGACATGACCATTCCCCGAAGAGAGTAGTGCTCTCACTTTCCTTCTCTCTCCCTTTCTCTGTCTGTCTCTCTCTAGTGAGTGTACACATCCCCTGTCCAAAAAAAGAAAAGAATAAAATATTTATTTTGTGAGTGTGATGAATGAAGATCCTAACAGAGTACATTTTATTAATTGTAAGCAAGTGACTTTGATTGACAGTGTCCAGACCCTACTGGGTAAATAGTGTCTTCTCTAGATTTAAATGGACCATTTGGAAAGTACACTGACCTCCTCAGTTTCAGTGTGATGACATTGTAGGTGAATAAAATATTTAGTGTTCCTCCACATATATTTTACTTACTCCCAGAAAGTGTCTTGCCAAAAGGATTTGGCTTGTGAATTAAATGCTCTTTTAAAAAGTATGAACAAAAACAGAATTTTTGAGTTTGAGGACCTGGATTCAGTGTATAAAATGCAACATATAAAATAGTTAGCAAATAACTCTTTTCTTTATTTCTTCATCGGTAGAAAGGTTTTAATTGAAGTGATGTTACCAGTTTCTAGGAGAGTTAAAATATATAAAAATATTTAGAACCAAACAAATGTTAGATTGTCTTATCATTTGTTATTACTTATTATTTCTTATTAGTTTTTTAATTGCCAGAGGGAACATGGATTTGCCAGAAAGAAAGACAGAAACAGAGAGAGAAGGAAGAAGGCATCCACAATGTGGTGTGGTCATGCCACAACCCCTTTTCTTCCATTTCTTCACCCTGTCAGATTTCAGGGCATGGCAGCCTGAGTTTCCAGCTACTGGAGCTGGAATTCAGACTGCAGTCAGCCATGTGGTATCTGCTTACCTGAACCACTAGACTACATGGTTGGCTCTGCCTGTTATTTCTTATTTAATTACTTGAGTTATACCAGTATGCTGTACAAAACAAAACTATATTAATAACAAGTAACCCTGTAACTTTAATTTGTGCTTGTTAGTCTTATTTATATAATCTCTTTATTAACATAGTACTCTGGACTAGAATTTAAAGTGCTTTATTCTAAGCATCTTCCTAGAAGTAAAGGTAAAAATAACAAGTCATCATGAGAAAAATAAAGTTGATTAAATGGACTAGGATTTTATAGTAGCAGTTTTCTCAAGATAGTATTAATTTGAAGTAATTATCAGAAGTAAAATCATAAAAATTAAAATGCTCAGTAATAATGTTAATGCTCAAATATTATTAAGTCCTTTGACTTCACATGGCATTATAAGGAACAGAATTAATACATTTACTAGACTATTCAGCTAGTAAAGTATTTTATAGTTCATAAAATCAAATATGCTGAAAGCAATCTCAAATTCATTTATTATTTTCTCACAACGCAGCACCTAGACCATAGAAGGATGGGAGGGGGTCCATATTTTGTTGAGTTTGGAGCAAATTAAGTGTGGTATGTAGAGTATATAGCATAATGACTCACTCATCTGCAAAAATGTTACAATTTTTGTCATTCCCTTAGGTGTATATACAATAAATTGGTTTTGAAGGTTTAGTATTCATAATATCTGAAAATAAGATTGTCTTTTTATCATAATGAGAAACTTGATTTATCTTATCACCAATTATCTAGGTGCTTAGGTCATGAGCATGTGTGTCCTCCCCGCCCCCAATTTTTCTCTCTCTTTGTTTACTAGCAGGTAAGCTCCTTAGATTAGAAATTGCAATTTTTGGCTAGTTCTCTGGCCTAGTGCTTAAGGAAGTCAGATCCCATACAACAGATTACATTTCAAATCCTGGCCCCAGTGGCTTGAAAAACGTGCTGGGTACATGTGCATACATACCCAAAATTCAGACAAGGTGGAGAAATGGAGGAGAAGGGATTGCAGCATGACCATACCCCACTGGGGCGTGCTTTTTTCTTCTCTTTCTCTCTGCCTTTCTCTGATAAGTGCATGTACCCTCTGCAGTTAAGAGTAAATGCAAATGTGTCCCCAGAGGCTGTCAAATGTTCTCATATATAGTGAATAATCAATAAATATTTGTAGAATCAAAGAATGAAGGTCGAACTGAACATACCTTATTCTTGTATAAGATCAAATTTAAGAATATAGGTGTAAATAGTACTAGTCCAATAGCTGAGGCAAAAAATTTCCCCAGAAGCACATCCATTAATTTTTTATTTCCTAGTCTTTCTGGTCAATACTATACTTTGGTATTTCACAGAAGCTCTAGCCATCTTCACTAAATTTTAATGTAAATTTTCCTGGAAAGGAATCACCTTCAGTCAAAATATAGTTGTTTATTCTCCAAATAAAGCTAAGTGATTGATTACCTGGAAAGTAGTCTTGACTGAGGGCCTTGGCTTATGGGCAATGTATCAGCTTTGCAGTGGCTGTTGACTGGGCACTCTTTAAGGCACTGGATTCACAATGTGGAGGAGAAAAGGAAAACACATTGTAATCAGTGCCCTCGAGGAATCTTCATTCATTCATTTACTTACATGTAAATGAATTCATATTGAGAAATAAAAATGCATGATGCACATATACAGCACGTGAGTGACATGAATATTGCATTTTGGAGAAGCTGTTATGAAGAAAAAATAATTGTAAAATAATTAAGACATCACTGTCTAGGTTCATCGTGAAAAGTGTGGGTTTTTGTAGTTTCAGAACATGATGAGGAATTTAAATATTTCTCTGAAAGCAATTGGTAACGTTAGGTAGAAACAACTAGAGAAACCATTTCATGTTAGGTATGTAATCCAAGTTAGAAGGTAATAGTGAATAAAGGTTTTGTTAAAGGTTTTTTGTTTTTGTTTTTTCCAGAAAAGGCAAAAATCTCACAAATATCAAATGAACTCATGCCAAATGTGTCAAATGTGTTTATTTAACTCATTAATTACTAAAAGGATGAGCACGATGTTACAACTACCTTAAAGGAACATTCAAAGAACCACACACATAGGCACTAATGGTGCTGAAGTGAATTTCAAATAAAGGCAAAGTTGACTTCTTCCACAATGGCATGGGAAATCAATTGAATCATACCAGACAAAATGTATTGTCTATGAACAAGAATCATTTGCACTGCTATCAGTTATCTACAACTCGGAGTTATAAATAATTCAAAGACTGATAGGTACAAAGATCTCACAGAATCCAAAAACCCTAACTAGTTTTCCACTGAAGACAGTAAGTTCTTGTTTCATTTCAAAACCTGTCACATTTTTTTCTTTGATAGGTTCATGCGAGATAATTAATATATGTAATAGGTTTTGAGAATAATAGGAGACATACTGTAACTTTGAAATACAAACCAAGCAGTTTAGACCTCATCTTTTATATCAGGGACACAAATGGGTTTTCCTGAGTGGCAGTTCCTCATGGTCAATACTGACTACTGAAATACTCTGTTGGGAAGAATTCTGGATGCTCTTTTGAAAAGAAGTCTATGACCACTTTGCAATCTTTGTTATATGCATTGTACAGTTGGGAGGTGGAAAATGGTAGCACAACTATTTAGCCAATAGGGAGCCATTGAAAGTTTTTGATCTGGTAAATGTGGTATATAGAGTATGAATGAATTATAGTAGCAGTGTGTGGGATAGAGTTGGGTGGTAACAGACTGTAAGTAAGAATAGGGAAAATGCACCTTGGAGGTGATCCAACCTTAGATATATGCTTGGAAAATTAGAGGTTGGAACAGTTTGGTGCAAACAAAGCAAGGTCAAAGTGTACGCCTTTGTTTAGGGAAGGGAACTAGAGAACTTAGAAAGTAGGAGTTCAAAGGAGAAGAGAAA